GAATATACAACATATACATGTGTGACATGGCATGGCCAGGCGTGCCATGATGAATGAGAGGGGCGGAGTCGCCTTCGCCTTTGGAATCCTGCCCCCAGCCCCATCCTTCCGCTTTGGCCCTTTTGAGAAATGCAACCCTCTGTTAGACATGTCAATTTCCAGCCTGATGCATCGCACACGGCCCACGGAGTGTGGCGAAAAGAATTGCGTTGCTGAAAAGCCAAAGATTTTCATCCAATTTGCAAAAGTGGAATACGCATACGCCCCGTGGTCCGCCGAGTTCGATGCGACACGTGAGCGTACACTCAAAACCGTTGTCCTGAATATATAATTTAGCCATTTGCTAAAAAATAGACTTCAATAGCTTTCAATAGAAACAATTGTGGCGCTAAACCATGAAATTTGTATTTATTATTTGTTGGTTTCAACTATGGCGAAAGCACTTAGAAAAATTGTTGCTTTATCAAAAGTCCTCATTTTCCTTATAATTCATGTTTTCAGCTGCTCAAACCAGTCGGTACTTTTGATTTCAGCCAAATTACGACAAAGAAACAACACGAAATAACGTATTTTTGATGGATATTCGCAAGGCTTATTTTCCACATAAGCAAGTATTTTATCCATACTAATTTAATTCGAATATTTGCGTTGAAAAAAAAAATTATTTTAATTTAATTCTAAATAGAAATCGTACTTTTGTTTGTTAAGCATCTGGACCACCTATAACCCAAGACCGCTTTCCCTCAGTGCAGATTTCGTTAGGGGCTGGAGGACATGTGTTGGCAACGTGCCTGCCGGCAAGTCAAACATTACGACATTACGCGCTTTCCAATTCACCTGTGAAAATCATTTTCTCCGTTTCGTCGCAAGGAAAAAAACAAAGAGTCGTCCCGAAGTCAGGGGCGGAATTTTCGGCGAATTTGCCTTGTCAAATGTTGAAGGCGACGTGACAAGCATTAGCTACAGCTACAGCTACAACCTACAGGACACGGAACCTGGAGGAGCCTCCTGTAACCTGTGCCCCCGATAATGTCGATGTCGCTGTCGCTGCATGTGGGAGATTTTTCCCGGGGAGGAAAATATACTTTCCTCCTGCGCCGTGTGTAGTTTGGCATATCATTTCGTCGCCAATTTGAAAATCGTTGATATGCATGCGAGGCAGGCGACCTCAAGAGGTGTAAACAGAGGGCACACGTGTGGGTGGGTGGCGAAATCAAATTGGATTGGGGAACACCTTATCCCATCCTCACGTACCTGCTATACCATATGTACATATGTTTTTTTCGGGGGGCCAACGAAAGTTTCCCCCGCCACGTAAAGTGCTTTCCGATGTTTTTCCGCAGCCACGGGACCTCAACTCTTTTTTAGTTGGTCCTCCTAACTGACTAACTAAGAGCCTCGAACTCCAATATTTGAACCAAGCCAAACCAAACCAGACAGCAATATGCAAATGGAAATCGAAATTGAATATTCGAAATTAAATGCGTTTACACAAAGTCGAGTTTGTCGAATCAGTAATTACTGCAAATAAAACTACAATTGATTCGCATTTACATTTCATTGGGTAAATTGCACAATTGCAAATGGCACTGCAGATGGCAGAGGGGGAAAGGGGGAAAGGGGGAGAGGGGAACCCAAAAGACTTGAATACTCTAAATAAATGGCATAACATTTTCCCCATTTCCCCATTCGATCTCGCATGAGAGCACTTTTGCCCAGGACTCCCCAGATGGAAGATGGAAAGTGGAAAATGGAAGATGAAGCTGGCCTCAGAAATCACATAAAAATACAGTCAGACAGACGCACAAGCTCTCTGGGCACTTGTTGTTGTTGTCTTCGTTGTCGCTCCCCGAACATCTTGGATTTTTATTGCCATATATTCAGTTGGAATAACAAAACGAAAACATTTCGAATTCACTTTTACTTTATGCTCACAAATTGTTTCTCAAATGAACAATTTTAAATTTTCACATTCAATAAATTGCCGCTGGGATGATGCCAACAAATTGCTGAGGGGTTTTGGGGATGTTTGTTACTTTTCCCCTGCAAATGAAAAAAGTTTTTGTCAATTGTGTCGACTTATTATTAGCATTAGCACTTTTTGACTAGGCATCCAATACACTTATCGAGGAGGTAAGATGGGATTTTAGATTGGGAAGGAATTGTGAATGAATTGGATCATTATTATTATTACAGAATACATATGCCAAAGATCATTAAAATACGAAATGGAGTCAATGGGGTCACAAATATCATACTTTATTTTATAGATCGTATTGAAAATGGCTTTCAGTTACTTTACCTTTTCCCCAACAAGTGTGCGTACTTTCCAAGTGAAAGTGTAGCCGAGGAAAAATGCAAATGACTCTCGAAGCGCAAATGGCGTCGAAATTGAAAATCAAGATGACTTCTTCTAGGAGACTTCGAGGAGGACTTTTAGGAGAATAGGTTTGAGGAGCGTCATGAATACTGAAAACCCACGCAAATAGCAGAAATGTATATATACAGGTGGCATTCAGGTACGCATGTGTTTGTCTCAGACATTTCGATTACTTTTTGAGTGGTTCCACTAAGGTTTCTCTTCTTTAGCCCCCAAATTGCTGCATCCGCAAACTTTGGGGTCTCATGAAATATGTAGACCAGTAATATCGGGGGGCGGGAGGAGCAGGGGGCGTGGCACACAAAAGGCGGCGCAAATTACTGAAATATGCATGCGACTCGACTCGCCATGGCCATTATCGTGGGCTTCCTTTTTCTGCTTCCCGGAAAAGTATCGGGGGTCCATCGAGGCTACGTGCCGGGAATGTCCAAGAGATTGCCCGCCGGACACTCATTCCGGGCATGTCAATGGCATTGAAATTGGACCCACCTTCGCTTCATCCTCACCCCTCGAATCGCTTCACATTTGCGGTTTTTGAAACTGCACGCATTTGATTGCGTTATTGAAATTGACTGGACCGGTGGCTTCATTACTATATAGCAATGTCGGGGCGTTGGCGAGGAATTCAATTATAAATACCTGCAGATTCCAGGTTGCCTGGGCTTATGAATATAAATCTGTTGGCTGTGCGGCAGCTTCGACTTAATTGCCGTTGGCCTAGGCAGGTGGAGGCTGCAGACGAGGCGTTTCAGTAATTATTTACTTGATGATGTCGCCTCGGGCAAAGTTAAATTAAATGAAGATTATGTGAGCTTTTTAATTAACTCGGGCGGTTATGTGATCTTAGTTTTCCCAAGGTGCTCTAACCGCAGTTGGGCTTAAAATCATGTCTTTCAATGGAATCACATTGACCAAGAAAAGTGAAAATTATGAGCTGAATTTACTTTACTTTTCCCATGACTATTTATAAAACGATCTTAAAAATCATTTTAAATAACGATTACAAGCCGGAAGTGAACCGGTTATAGAATAATCGATAGAACTTCCGCCGATAGCCCGTTATCGATCGAATAACCGTTTCGCTTCTACGGTAGCCCTGGTAGCGAACAGCTGTTACAATCAGTCTAATTAGCTAATTTTCAGGTGCAAATTGCGTCTTTTAAATATCGAATTATTTAAATATTAAGCAACAAAATGGCCCTGCGACGCTGTCACTTGAACCCCAAGAAAACACTCTTCCTGTTGTGCGATATTCAGGAAAAGTTCCGGCCTGCAATGCCGCTTTTCGACAACATGGTCAAAAACGTTGATAAACTTGTAGGTTTGAACTTTGATTGTCATATTGATCTCTTTTCTATAGCCGCTGAGACTAACACTAATTCGATTTCAGACCAAGGCGGGCAAAGCTCTCGACGTTCCACTAATTGTCACTGAGCACTATCCGGAGAAACTGGGGAAAACTGTGGCCCAACTGGATGTCAGTCATGCGAAGCTCGTCTCCGGAAAAACCCTTTTCAGCATGGTGACCCCGGAGGTTAAAGCTGTGATCAAGGATATTTTCAGTGACAAGCCCGAGGATGTGGTGTTGTATGGCCTGGAGGTGGGTAACAAATCTAGTATTCGTATTTATATTTTCAAAAACCCTTTTTCGAATTTCTGTAACTGTTTTTTATATTCCTTAAAATATTAGAACATTTTGAAAATATAAATCTTAGAAATAAGTTTTTCTAACCCTTTTAAATCTCTCCTCCTCCTCAGTCCCACATTTGCGTGGAGCAAACCGCCATCGATCTGCTGGAACAAAACATCAACGTGTACATAGTGGCGGACTGCTGCTCCTCCAGGCTGAACCAGGATCGGGACTTGGCCCTGGACCGCCTGCGCCAAGCAGGCTGTGTGATCACCACCAGCGAGAGCGTGATCTTCGACTTGGTGCGGGACAAGAACAACCCGAAGTTCGACGTGGTGCGCAAACTGGTGAACCAGCCCTCGGTGGACATGGAACTCACGCGCAACGGGAACGGATTGCCAGTGGGCAGTGCCAAGCTGTGAAGGGAAAGGGAATCGAGTCCCCCCTTGTCTATTTGTCTGTTTGTGATGATGCCAATTGCATTTATATAACCATCATGCAGAAAAGTGTTTTTCAAGGATGAGCGGGAACGAGGGATAGCGGGAAATGGGCCAAATGGGAGCAGCACCCATTTAAGTTGTCATTTCCGTAACATATTCCAATGGCCCCGCACAATGGGCGAGTCCATATTTGAATTTGCCATTTAACAATAGCCTCGAATGGGCTTCCATCCGGCGACTCCCCTGCTCTGCCCTGCCCAGTGGCCCATTTCCGCCGGGGTCCTTATTATGCGGATGACAATGCGTATTTTATGTACAGCCGCCACCCTCCATTGATTATAAAGCTGAGTGTTGCGTCGTAACCTTTTATTTGTACAGTGAGTTGAGAGCAGGAGGAATATGACCCAGCCAAGGGCTCAGTGAAGACGACACTGAGTTGGGTGAGGATGCAATGGTATAAGCAGAGTACTCCATACAACCTGTTGTGGATGCCAGCTGACTAAGTGTACTCCGATCTTCTCTTTTGTTAATATATAATGTATTTAAAAAATCACTCTTCGACCTTCGGATGAAAGCCGGTTGCATCCGCGATGTATGTCACCCGGATCTGCTTGCCATCTTCGCCGGGCAGAAAGTATTCGCCCTGTATGCCGTTCACATTTCCTTGGGCCTTGATTTTTATGCCATTGGTGACGGTGGTCTCGTGCTTAAACTGTCCAGCTCCATCCAGGTTCTGCAGGTTCTCTGCCTTCACAAGCTGCGCCTGGACGTCCTCCTCACTGCAGCTGGCCAGAACCACCAACAGGGCAACGATAAGCGTCTAAAGATAAGGATAGGTCAACTAATATATCCAACAATTTCATTCCGACGGAGAACTCACGTATTTCAGCATTTTAGAGCAGCTACTTAAACTGAAAACAATGACCAGCCGCCTTTTATACCACCTCTAACCCACTAAACGGGTTTCAATCGCACCTGCTAATGACTGAGATTAACCAGACAGCCATGAATATCAAATTTGCGGCGGCTCAATCGCGTCTGCTTCTGGCATTAGCAGGCCAGCCGACGCCCCCAACTAATTAATGGTGCTTTGGTTAACCCATTTCGGAACTACAAGAACGTTTAATCAACATTTCAATTCTCCTTGCCCGTGGCTTTTGGTAGCACTTCCTGGGAAGCAGGCTTAGAGTCCCAGTCCTTGTACCTGATCTCTGGATTTCCCAGAATCTTGGCCACTCCATTGAGGAAGTTTGGTTTACTGTAGCCGCCGGGTTCGTTGCTTTTCTCCGAGATTTGGGGTATTATTTGGGCGGAGAAACTGGAAGGCGGGGCATCTGGAGCTTCATTTGGCCAAAGGGACACGGAAATGCCCTGATTCCGCTTGCTGTTGAACTTCTCGAGATATTTCTTGGCCCCCAAGCGGGCAGAGGATTTCAGGGCATTCATGTCCCAGGAAACGCCCAGCTTGGATTGAATCTCCTCGGAGGCGCCCTTGTCGTTGGAGGAGAAGAGCGTTTGGAACATCCGTTTCAAGTCGAGATCCTTGGGATCCTGAAGGGAACGGGCCTTTACACTCTTTTCCTCTTCTATCTCTCTTTTGGAATCCTTGTTAAGTAATGGCAAGTCCGGGGATAAATTCCCCTGCATCTGCTGAAAATCCAGCTCGGGTGCGATTTGCAGATCCTTTGGCAGGTAGCCGCGACTTTTCAGGTAAACCAGTGGCGACTGCCAGTTGTCGATGAGGTCTTTTACTATGGTGTCCACCGAGTTCCCGTACTTGATTACTTTTACATTACTCTCCGCCGCGCCCGTAAAAAATAGAAAGCTGTATACAATTAAAGAAATCATTTTCGAAGCCAGGTTTTATGAAATTCAAATTGAGAGCCTGCTATCGATGACTATGTCAAACGGTTGAGCTATCGAGTTGGCAGTTCCACATTGATCTACGTTGGCATCCCCTTGGCGCTTAGTTGCAGCAGCCCTGGTTCAAAAACAGCTGTTGTGTTGTGAGCAAACGTAAATTCTTCCAAACGACTTAAATTATTGGCTTTTTCTTTAATTACAAAACGCCTTGCAGGTCTTTAGTTAATCACACGGGACAGCAAGGCTACAATGGTCATCACGAACAGCACAACACTGCCCGAGGAGTCGGAGCTGGACGTCCAGGAGCTGAATCTTTCGTCGGCGGCTCTGCGGGCGGGTTCCTTCCATTTGGGCAAGCAATGCGAGCAGGCCAATAATGTTAGTACCTCTGGGACTGCGGGGAAGCATTCCTAATACTAATACCCAGCTGAAAAACAGCTCCAAAAGGAACCAGAAACCATGGAGACGCCGAAATCCAACCGCTTTAGTTATATAACCTAACCTCAAAACAGGAACCTTCCTCGGTTTGTTTACGTTTTCGTTTTCCGTGTATTTGCAGGAGTTTATGCTCTGCCGGCAGGAACTGGACGATCCACGCGCCTGCCTGACGGAGGGCAAGGCGGTGACCAACTGCGCCCTCGACTTCTTCCGCAAGGTGAAGAAGAGCTGCCATGAGGAGTTCATGCAGTACGCCACCTGCCTGGACAAGAGCAGCGGAACCATGGCCTTCTCACAGTAAGACGAAGAATCTCTCCAAGATTACTATGATTTTAAGAAGAGAAACTTATCTTTTACAGATGCCGCAAGACGCAGGGAGTGTTCGACAAGTGCATCAAGGATAACTTCGACTGGGATCGTCCCTCCTACGGCTACTTCTCCCGGGCCAAGGTGATCAAGTCAGCCCGCGAGGCTCCCAAGAAGGAGGAGAAGATCTCCTATCCCGATGCCACCCCCGGTCTGCCCGAGGACTACCCCAAGCCGCCAGCCAAGTACGGCTCCCGCTTCCACTGGCTGGAGTAGACCAACCTGCTGTCTAGCCTGCAGCCTAGTGAAATTTGAAAGCGTTCATCTTAACATAAACTCTTGTTTCCATTAGTACTCGACTGTATTTATTTCATCGGATCTTCTTGCGCGACACCGTTTGCTTGATCTTCTCCATGATGTCCAGGTACTGGTTGTTCAGGCAGCAGCCGCAGTAGCTCACCGGGAAGCAGGCGCTGCCCTCGATGCGGCGGTGCAGCGGCATGTTCTGGTAGAACACCCACGAGATGTTCTCCTCGCCCAGCACCAGCATGATCTTGTCGAAGCGGCAGCCCTGCACCTTGAACAGCTCGATGTCGCCGGTGATGATGCGCCACTCGGCGTAGCGAATGTTCACATCGGGGGGCAGTTTGGAGCGCTCCCGCATCATCACGTGCTCGAACCAATCGCGCACCTGGATAATGGATCCGGTGGGAGGATGCTTGCGGATCTGGTAGCTGATGCGCGGGTACAGCGGATGGCTGTATTAATGGGATATCGAATGAGTTTTGGAATAGTTTAAAGTATTAATTACTTACATGTACGGCACATAGGCCAGGCGAACGAGCACGAACTCAACTTTCTCTCGGGGAGCCATCTTGGAGATATATTCGTTTTAGGGCGGACGAAACGCTTCACAGGCACTGCTAGGCAATACTGAAGAGCTTCGTCCAGGATGCCCACTATATATACCGACTGATTAAGCAGGTAGAACCACAGCTTGAGCAGATGTTCCGTCTCTAATCCCAAGAAAAGTCCCGGTTTAGGCTGAAGTTACCTGAATTGGTTTTCTCATTTACAGTTTTATTGCTAAAACGACCGATTTCTTAACCTATACAAAGGGACATCTACTCCGTGTACCACTTGGTGCGCTTGGGCTTCTTAATTTTACCTCCCTCAACACCGCCGCCTCCTTGATTTCCGCTAATCATGTTCTTGTACTTATTAATTAGGGGTCGCAGGTCGTCCTTTTCCTTCTTGCGTCCCTGCTTGGGTCGATTGTTGGCCTTGCGCTCTGCCAGATGCGATTCGCGTATCTTCTTGTTCTTCTGCTTGCGCTTCTCGGTCTTCACCTTCTTCAAGTGCTCCTTGGCCTGCTCCACGATCTTCTTCTTGGAGCGCATTTTCAGCGAGGTGCCCGGCTTGGCTGCCGTGCCCACATAGTCGTCCTGCACGTCGCTGAGTTGCTTCTTCTCCGCGGCCTTGCCCTCGGCCTTGGCTGCCCGCGATGCCTCCAGCTTCTGGATGTGCTTCTGCAGCTTGGCCTTGTTGTCTGTCTGTGGTCCCGGCGTGGGTTTGGTCTTCTGGCCACTGCGCTTCTGCTGCCGTCGCTCCTTGCGCTGCTGCTGCTTGTCCTTGTAGGTGGGATTGTTTAGCTTGGAGCGCTCCGTGCGCTTCTCCTTGATTTTGTGCACAGCCCGATCCTCTATACTGAAGGCGACAATGGGGCGCTATATGACAATTGAGAATTAATACATGAAATTAAATATTAGCTTAAATTCTCCCTACACTCTGAGCTCCAAAGATGCTGGGATTGTTGTTCAACTTGCGCAGGGCAGTCAGGGCCCTCTGATGCGTGTCGAAGGAGAGGAAGCCGAAGCCCTTGGACTTGCCGTCGGGATGCTCGGGGGTCACCTTGTGCTCCCTCATCACCCGGCATTCGTGGGGCCGGAAGCCAGTGTAGGTCTGGGCCATTTGCTTCAGCTTCTCGTTGTCATAGTTCAGGGGAAGATTGTGGATGGACAGGCGATTGCGGGAAACAAATCTAGGAAACAAAGTAGTTCAGTTAGAAATAAACCTTGTAGAATTACTTAGTTACAATCTTACCGGTTCAAGTTCTTGAGCACCTGCGTCTTCACCTGCTCCAGTTCGTGGCGCTTGGCCATGTCCGATGCGGAAACCCCATCTGCCGCCTTCGCTCCGGACATAATGAGACCTTCCCTGGCCAAATACAGATTTCGAGAATCCTTCGAATCGTCTTTTTTGTTGTCCTGCGTCTGCTTCGACTTCATCTCCTCGCGACTCAGGGCGGGATGGGGGTCCAGGACCTCGTCCATCAGCTTGAACTCCGTGCCGGCTTGCAGGCAGAGATCCGCCGACTCCTTGGCCTTGAATTTAACAAATGCCGTGCCCTTCGAGTGGCCAGAGACAGCCTGGCGATTGATGATGGCATAGTTGACCAGGCCAAACTTGCGGCACACCTTGCGCAGATCCGCGTCCTCGGCATCGAAGGGCACGTTCTTGATGAAGACCGTGCAGCCCTGCTGGACGTCGTTGGAGATTTGCTTCTCCTTTTTGACATTTTCGATATCTAACTTGGATTTCAGTTCGTCTTTGTCCTCCTTCTGGTCTTCGTCCTCCTCCTCCTCGTCCTCAGACTCAGATTCCCCATCGTTATCCTCATCTTCCGCCTCAGAATCCTCCCCGGAATCGCTCTCATCCTCTCCAGCTTCCTCGTCGCTTTCCTCCTTGACCTCCTTCTCTTCCCCGTCCTCCTCCTTCACCTCCACCTTTGGCTTCTTCTCATCCGGCTCCTCCTTGGGGTTCTTGGACGCGTACTCATCCTTGCCCAGAGCCCAGTCCACGAACACCTTCCTGCCGAGCAGCTCCTTGCCGTTGGAGTGCAGGATCGCCTTGGTGGCCTGGTTGATGGTCTCGTACTGCACGAAGGCGCAGCCCACCAGCTTGCCGTCGCCGCGCTTTAGGATGTGCACATCCTCCAGCGTGCCCCACTGCCCGAAGTGCTCCCGCATCGAGTCCTCCGTCGACTTGTAGCTGATGTTGCGCACGATGAGCCGCGCCCGCTTCTTCTGGCGGCGCTCCTTTTCCTCCTTCAGCCGCTGCGTGTTGAACGGGTTGCGGCGCTTCCGGGCGACGGTTTCTGGCGGGGATTCGGCTGCCGCTTCATCCTTTAAAGGCTTCATTTTCTTTAATTCCATTGCTAGCCACGCGCACGTGGGACTTTGTTTTGAAATTGAATTAGGCATGGTACGAACGGGCACGACGTGTTTTACCAACGAGGTCGTGCGTGCTCGTTCTTAGATTTTGCATTACGAAACGAAAGAAAATTAAGAAATTTTGCATTTTTATGTAAATAAGTATAAGTATTTAATTTGTCATAAACAAGATGCGGGGAATGTATGAAAAAATGTAATTCGTTTTAGCCGATCCACGATTTTTTTTTGCAGTGTGCGTGCCGATAAACGTGCACGCGTCCATCTCTAAGGCGCGCACTTCGATAACTTCGATAACAGAAATGTTTGTTTTAAGGAAAACTTGTATATTTTTTTAAAACAATTTACAACATGAATATAAAATCTAAGTTTCTTGTTTGGTGTCAAACAGTTGGTGGAACTCCGAGGGCGTTTTAAAGTAGTCCACCAGCAGCATGGAGGAGCGGCTGCCCAGTTTGTACATGATGTGGCTCCAGGGATTTAAGAAGTTTTTGTACTCGGCTATTTGTCCCCTCTCGAAATAGTGTTTCACGGTTCCCAGCGGCAGTTGGGAGCCATAGACAGCCACATATCTAAAATAAATGAGTAATTGTAATGGGAATAGAGAGGAACATATACAACTCACTTTTCGGAACTCTTGTAGATCCTCAGGGGATATTTCGCCACAAAGGTGCGAATGGCCAGATTAATGAGCACAAATCCTGCGAGGAAGTAGTACAGATCGGTTTCCTGGGACACCAGTATGGCTATGTCCATTTTCTGGACCATGTTAACGTAATTCATGGTCGTCGCCCAGTGATAGGCGGCCACTAAACCGAGAATGGAGGTGGTGGCAGTGGACATGTTCTTGGTCCAGGTGACGTAGCTCTCGATGGGGGCGCGGTAGATCAGCTTGTAGTTATCCGGAAGCCTGTCGCCGGACAGGAGCTTCCTTTCCACCTCGCCGGAGGCCACATTCCGCCACTTGCAGAGCAAGCTACTTGTGCTGAATGGAAGATCGGGTTTTTAGTTAAATTCATATAAACCTTAGTTAATAATTACTCACTGCAGTGCCTGGCAATTGGACAAAGCCGCAATTGGCCTTAAATTAAGTAATTTAACATTTCGTAAGAGTGTCGCACACATGTTGTTATTTTGTTATCGAAAACAAAGTCAGCTGTGCGCCGGAGTTGCCGGACCGCCCGAATTAGCTGGCTCCGAATTTAGCGTCACTTTTCCAGCTGACTTTGCACCCCACTCCCCCCTCACCCGGTCAGTAGGTAAACAACACAGCTAGAGAGCAGTTTTCCAAGTCTTTCCACAATTTTAGCTAGGAACACACGTTCTGTAGGCCGGTGAACTATTTATATTTTTGATAACTCTCGAGATGGATTCGAAGCGCGCGGCCCTTGAAACCGGCGACGGTCCGGAACCGAAACGCCTCGATATCGGGGACTCCGCCGAGGAGCGGGACGAATCCCGGGAAGCGTCGCCCGGGGACGGGAACCAGGTCAACCTGGCCACTAAGAGATTAGAGGTCGTGCCCTTCACGGGCAACGGATGCAGTGCCTCGCTGGAGGCCTACCTGTTCGAGACGACGATCCCGACGCCCGCCAACAGCACAGCACAGATGCCGTGGAACGCTGGCCAGGATGGGCAGACTTCCGAGAACGATGCGGAGCTGGAGAAGAGCACCAGTGAGAACAAGAAACGTAAGCTGTCATGCGTCAGGTTGCTAGATACTAATCCTCAATGTTATCCCCCAGCTGACACCTCGAAGATGTCGCGCCGGGAGCTGGCCAAGCTGCGCCGCGAGCACACTTTAAAAGCCCTCGCCCTGGAACGCGAGCTGACCAACAAGCCGGGCCAGTCGGCCGCCACTGTGGTGCTGCTCATCCGCTTTCCCGACCCCGACATCACTGCCCCCATGCTCGCAAGCCTGTCCAAGGAGATCCGGGACGTGGTCCTGCCCTCCAGTGTGGCGCCGCGCTTCTGCCTGGTGCACCTGAGGTCCGGCGCCGATGTGGAGGCCACCATACGCGACATCAACAAGGTGCGCTTCGGCACCGGCTTCCTGCAGGCGGAGGTCAAGCCCTTCTCGGACGAGGAGCAGGCCGAGTTCATCGACCCCTGCTCGCTGTACGTGAGCAACATACCCTTCAACATGACCACCTCGGCCATCAAGGCCTACTTCGCCCACGCCATGCGCGTGGACATCGGGGTGCTGAAGCGCGAGAAGCGCGCTCGCTACGCCTTCGTGCGCTACGCCAGTCCTGACCAGACCATGGAGGCCTTCAAGGAGCTGGTCGACTCTCCGCTGAACAGCCGCACCCTCACAGTCCGCTACCGTCGCCTGAGGAAGCGCTCCGGCATGCCCACGGTGCAGTGCACCAGCTCCTTCCAGCCGATTCCCTCGCCAAGTGGCGCCGGCGGCGGTGGAGGCGACGAAAACGACGACAACGCCGACTGCAAGCTCATTTCTCCGCCGCCCGTGGAGTCGATCGTGATCAGCGACAGCGACCACGGCTCGGACTCCAGTGGCAACGGCAAGAGCGGGAGCGGTAGCAAGCGCAAGACCAAGGCGAACAAGCAGGAGAAGGAGATTCAGAAGCTCAAGCGTCAGATGGCCGAGTACGGGGCCATCATAAAGAACTTGCAGATGGGACAGAGCTGCCTAGGAAGTAAGAGATCTTTTCTATAACACTATATCTATATAAATAACTCTATTCTTCCTTTACAGACTCGTTTATACCCGATCTAACCCCTAAGATAGAGCCGTGCGTGAATCCATCAGCTTGCATACTAGGATCCAACACGGTCCACCTAATACGCGACATCAAACAGGAGTGTGCCTACCTGGGAATACCCGACAATGGCCACGCCGACATCATCGTACCGGCCAGCCAGCCGAGCCCGCAACCATCAGAAGAAAGCCGGAAGAAATCCAAAAGTATATAGATATTCCCGATATTATTCATTTGCCCATCAAACATCCTCCTTCTCGCGTGTCCTACTCAGCAACCTGTTTTGGCCGGCTGTTTTCAGGTCCCTTCAGACGACGCAAGAGTGCCAGGCAGACGACCGCTGACAAGTACGAGGCCCTGACGGCCTCGCCGGACATGGACGACCGACTCGAGCAGCTCTACGCTCAACTGGAGTGCGATCCTGATCCCTAAGTTGTCATGCCAAGTTGCCTACCAAATTACTCGTCGTAGGCGAACCCTGAGAATAATAATTTAGTTTACTTTTTACTGGATTTCCACTTGTTTATTTGTTATCTTTTCGTTTTGTTCAGTTTCTCTTTTTCAGCGTACATTTATGGTATATAAAATAAAATTACACATAATAATACGTAAGTTAAATAATATTTCGGTTTTAAATATTAAACCCGAACAAATATCGCTTAAGGGACTGTCTTAAATATCACTTATACAATAATCATATGTACTCGATGATGATTTTCATATTAGTTTATATATGGTCAAGTCAAGTTAAAACTCTTACGGTTGCGAAATCGTTGCACAGCTGGAGGAACTCTCGTGTGTGCACATATTAACAATTATATCTAAACTAAAGTAATGCTCAATGTTCAGTATTTAATTTTGTTTGGTTCTCTCCAATTCTCTGCGTATATATGGCTCGTTAAATTTAATATCGCAATTTGTCATTACCAAAACTTGTGCTATGATATGACTTTTTATCGGCTTCGGTCGTAGAATGCGGAATGTTATAAACTATTTCATTATATTTAAGGCTGATTTTATTTACACAACAACAAAAGTATTTGATAAGGCACCTGTTTCACATGCTGATCGCTCAATTTACAATTGATATTCTGTTCGATTTCAATTTGTATGCTCTTTCATTATTATTTTTATTTGGATTTCCTCTCATCGTATTCGATATATGGTGTTACGCATTTGAATGACCATTAGACCAACGGTGCGGTAAAATTTTAGAAACTTTACTCGAGTGGCTAGCTTTGTTCCTAGGTTCCTGGCTCACAAAGGAGGCCCTTTTAGCTGACGATGAGTTTGGAGACGAGGCACATCAGGATGGTGGTGATCACAGTGCTTACGGCGGAGGTGCTCGACATTTTCGTTTGCGACATGGCTCCATTTCCGGTTCGCTCCGCCACTTCCGGTTCGATCGGCTCGTCGTTGGACTGGTGATCGCCCACGGCTAGGAAAAATCGGGTATTTAAGAGATCAAGTTAGTTACGTTATATGATGTATAAGATACTGAAGTTAAGGATGTTTTTTGTGCAGAAGAGTCGTAGATCTAAACTAAAATAAAGTTTTTTTTTGAGTGTTGGGAGTTTTTTTCAAGAAGCTCAGGATAGAAAAATAAATGTAACTTAAGTAACTTAAGGGGGAGGGGGTTCAAATTAAATAATAAATGATGTAACATACTCTTCACTCTGTAAACTCGTTTCTTTCTATTTGGCTTGGTTTGGCGTTTCGGCAGGCGGCGCAGATCTTGGGCGTGGCATGTTTTATATATATGTTTCGATTTGTGATGATTTTGCTTTATTCAGACAGAGAGATCACTCAAGCGGGCGATGAATAAACACTAATGCTGGCAAATTACAAGGTTACGAGATCCTCTAGACTAGAAGAATCTGTTCGTGAAGCCCCACATCCAGCCGGGCAGAATTCCCAGATTGGGACTCGCATTCGGATTCGGGTTCGGCACTTGCGGTGCTATGTGTATCAACCGCAAATAAAAATTTGTTTTGTTTAAAAAACAAAAGTAGAGAACAGAAAGCATAAATAAAACAATTCTTCGGGATGTAGCATGGATCAAAAATGGAAGTCGGGATGTGCTCAAACAAACATACGTGATAAAAGGCAGTCTACAAACTGGATGATAATACCGAAGAGCAGGAAGATCAGCAAGGCGAGACTACAACTACACACACAATAAACGAGCAAGAGGCGGGGAAGAAAGGAGAGTAGCAGTCAGAAGAAGCTCTTTTTTCGCTATGTGCTATATGTACTATATGCTTTATGGGGCGGCACATTCGCTTTGTAATTCTTCTGCGTGATGTGTCTTTATGTGGGTGGGTAAATGGAGTTGGTGTTCGTTTTTTTGGTTTCGTTTTTTTCGGCTGTTGTTGTTTCTGGATGTTTTTTCTGGATGTGTGCTGTGGTTAATTGTTCTTGTTTTTATATCCGCGTCTCTTAAAGCCTGCAAGAAATATACATACATACATACAGACAGATGATTCGAGTTTGGAGCTCGGCTTTTACGCTTTTGAATGCAAATTAAACGACAAACGATTATGGGCCACAGGAGGCACGTGCATGCGATTGTTAAGCGAGTGTCATACAAAAATATCCGATTGTGGGTCATAACGGGATGTGTGTGGGTATACAGCCCTATATACCAGGGGTATTTACGAGAATTTATCAAACCCGCCGACTTTCCATCCCATGCAGGTGTAAATCTTTTGTTTGCTCTAGATTAGTACGGGTTGTTCGGTTTGTTCATGCAATTAACGTGGGGAATTCAGAAACTTGGGTGTCTAAGTGTAAGTGATTTTGGGTGGTGTAGGTGGTTGGTGAGTGGGTGGTTTATACGTCACTTAGCCATTGGAAATTTTGTGCCGAGGGTGCCAAAACAAGGAAACGGTTACGCATAAACATTGTTCGAGTTTTTGCGTTTTTTTCTACAGGGTAAAGAGTTTAGTTCAGGGGAGTGGAAAATCAAATATTAATAGTACCATATCTAGATAAATACTTAGTGCTACGGAGCTACGGAACTTGGGTGTCTGGGGTTCCCATTTTTCGGGGCTTGTGGTGTTTAACAATTAGTGTTGCTTTATCTTTGGGTTAGCTACTAAGTTAGTAACCATTTTCAGGTGCTAAGTATTTTGGCAAGTTCTACGGGTTAGTTAGTTAGAATGTGCGCATGCTATGATGGTGACTTATAGACTAGGGCGATGGTTTTCATTGGCGTTGATCTTGGACCACGTTAGTGAGACCGACTGACCAGTAGTTTTTGTTGCTGCTGTTGTTGCTGTAGATAATTGCTTTATAATTTTCTTGGCTATTAAACTGTAAGCAAGATATTAAGTTATTTTTTAATAGTTGTTTCTTAGGCCTTAAACTTCTTTGTACATGGTATGCTAAATTGAGTTGGTTAGTTAACTGGAATCACAGAACCCAAAATACCGAAAGCAAATTATAAACAGAGATGTGTAAGTTTGGTTAATGGAAAGAACACACAGTTGTTAGTAAGTGGAAAGTTGGCAAAGTTTTGTTAGTTTCAGGATTAGTAGCGCTAGTTTAAAAATGTTATTTAAAAATAGAGTTTAGTAGAGTTAAGTTAGTTCGTAAAAGGTGTTACACATAAGTCTCTAAGAAATAGGGAAACAAAACTAAAGTAAAACACCACAAAATCAAGATTTTAGAAATGAATAATTGTACAGAATAAATAAACACAATATATATAGAGACTGAGCAAAAGACATGGACATACACAGTTTGGTAATTAGTTTTTTCAATAAGTATTATAAATGTATTTCTTCCATAGGCAACATAGACAAACACATTCGACTTGAGTAATAGAATTTCACTACATAGACATTAACTTAATTAAACATACCATATAGATAGGATTTATCATTATCATTATCATAATCATTTCATGACTCGTAACTGCTTCTCGCTAAGTAACAACTCATACAAGACTTCTTTCTATGAGATCTTTTTGACTTTACAGAGTTCGGGATTCGATCGATATATTCGTGGATCCAGTAGCTCAAACAAAACTACCGCTGAGTCGGTCCCACTCACCTGCGTCAAAGTCATCACCATTACCATCGTCGGCATGCGGCATCATGGATTGCTGGTCGAACTCGTTGTATGAGCCCTCGACGATATTACCTGTGGACGAGGGCGTGTTCTTGCAGCCGAACCACCAGTGGGCGGTGGGTCTGGGGAAGGGGGGCGTGGCGGAGTCAACCTGGGTGAAAATTGGGGATATAATAAGTACATTCAGGTTCTTCTTTGCTAAATACTTACAGCAAATCGGGCGTCGTGGAATCGGTAGTACTTGTCGCCCTTGAAGAAGTACGTGTATCCATTGGTGTACTTCAGAGCAGCATCCAGGTTGTTGGGAACTCCCTCCCAGTTGGAGATGGGCTTGGGATAGCTGGCCTTCACCGGTGGCCTCTTCGCGGGATCGAAGCGCCAGAACTTGCTGCCCTTGAAGAAGTAGATCTTGCCATTGCCCCCCCAGACCATCGCTGCGTCCAGATGATCCGGAATGCCGGTGAAGCCCTCGCTGATCTCCTTGGGATAGACGCCGTCCATCTGGCGACCCTGGTAGCGCCAGTACTGGGTGCCCTTGAAGAAGTACGTCTTGCCGTTCTTGTACGTGAAGGCCGCGTCGATGTTGCTCGGCAATCCCGGCCAGCCCTTCGAGATGAGCTGCGGGTAGCCCTCCTCCACGGAGTCCGTGGTCAGCTTGTAGTACCGGTCGCCCTTGAAGGCGTACGTCTCGCCCTGCGCCGAGTTGAAGAGCGTGTCCACCTTGGAGTCCTTGCAAATGGAGTCGTCCAGCGGCACCTTGGGCGGCGTGAAAGGTCGCTGCGTGGTGGCTGGATAGTTGTTGGTGGGTCTCAGCTGGTTCGTCTTCCTGCCGTACAGCGACTGGATGGCCGCCTTGTCGTCCTCGTCCAGCTTGAAGACCGGTTCGAAGCCGCGGTAGAAGGGAGCCATCAGGGCGGAGCTCTGATCCGAGTGGGACAGACCCAGGGAGTGACCGAACTCGTGGGCGGCCACCTGGAAGAGATTGGTGCCACGCGGCGAGCCAATGGTCCACAGTTCCGCATCGTCGAAGTGGGCATCGCCGCCGAAGACGGGGAAGAAGGCGTGGGCCAGAGTGCCGCCCTGACCATCGAAGGCATCGCCATCACCATGCTCGCTTTCTACGAATCTGGATAAATAATTATAAAGGTGGTAAGTATTCATGGTCTGAGGAGGTATACTGTGTGTGTGGCGGCAGAGGAGGGGTAAACTATTAACCAAACTCACTTGATCTCGATGTGCACGGGTCCGGAGGTCTTCCTGGTGAAGGTCAGATCGGTGTCCTCGGACCAAACGGCAAAGGCGCGTCCGATCTCCGCGTCCACGTCCACTCGCTTCAGTCGCTTGGGATACTTGGAGATCTTGTAGGTGAGGTTCTTGACGCGCCACCTGCTGCCCTGGAGGGCATACCGCTTGGAGCGACTGTCGCCGGTGCCCACGCGATCCCTGACTCCGCAGCGGGGCAGGGACATCAGCTTCATGGTCTCCGCATCCAGCTCGCCGGTGATGTTCAGGCCCGCGAAGCTCTGGAACTCCTCGATGGCGCTGACCCAGGTCTGCTGGTCGTGGAGACCACTGCTGGCAGGATTGCGGGCGGAGGCGGGAAGGTAGCCGAACTGGGACAGGTAGATCTGGAAAGGGAAATAAAAATAAGTTGGTTAAAGCAAGATCAATGGGCTGCGCCTGATGGCCACCCGTTGCGGCCAACTTGATTTATGGCCATCTGATTAGTCCTGTCTCCTTTCTATCTGACTTGCATAATTTACGACTGCCTTATAGCATGTATAAATAAACCTCCGGGGAGGAGGGGGCTACCCATATCGATTTCCACATCCACATCCATATGGCGATAGCGACGTGACTGGTGAAGGTGTGAAAACTCTTAATCGATCGTCAAGCATCGCCAACATTAAGGAAGCGTTTCAATTGCTAATTGTAATTTGTAAATGTAACATTGAGAAATCGAATAAAAACAGTTTGCCCATCAGGGAAGTGCACTTGTGCGCCGATCGGAGAACAATGCGAGGTTATCCTAACAGTTAAGCTGGCTAACTATTTAGAATTTGCTGTCTGGCCAATTACAACGGCAAATTCAGCTTTCGAACTTACGAGAGTTTTATGCGCTTAACGTTTTGGCCATACGATGATTTCGGATTTGGCATGTTGATCAGGTCTACCCAGTCGTTTATGTGTCGCACATTCTTAATGACTTAATGTTTGTATGTACAGTGTATATAGTACATGTTGTATAATGATTTGCCGAATCTTGCATAATGCCAGCTGACTGTTAATTTTTATTGTGTTCTTTCCGCCTGCGAGGAAGTAAACATTTCGCTTCGCACTTAAGAATTCATGTGGCGTCTTCGGGGCTTCAGCCAGTGGCTCTGTGATCTTTTTTTCTGGGTGGGTTTCTTTATTTATTTTATACCAACGATCAGCTGGGTTTTCTGCTCTCAGAGGTAAACGAACTGTAAACAAAGCGGGGTTCAAGTGGAAAGTATCTGTCGCTCATCTCGAGATCCACTCGAAATGCAGATTCAGATTCAGATTCGGATTCAGAATTCAGAAAAAATTCATTGACTCACTGGCGACCTTAGGAATGCCTCTTTATGCAATTAACATAATTACTCGCTCGAAACAGCAGGCACGAACCTCTTGATTGCCCAGAAATCGCTGCAAAGGTGTTATGCCTTGTTTTTCTCGGGATTGTAATGCAGCTTTTGTCATAGAACAAACACAATACTGACTCGGCAATCGAATGCATTGTTCGGGGCCCTCAAACATGGGCCTTTCGGTTATCTATTCTATCGATAAGATAACTCCCCCATTGGCAGCAAACAAAAGACTACTCAACCAGTCCGTAATTGAGTCATTTCTGACGCATTTTCTCCATTCAAAAGTGAATGCGTCACAAGGCGAACGGAAGTTGGGGCCAAAACGGAAATGTTTAAGCCAACTAATTTTTCGGGAGTCATCGGTCTGCGATTCTCAGTACACCTGTTCTATCGATTTAAGTGGTCAGTCGAATGCATCCGCATCGAAGTCCACTGGGATATTCGTGCATTTGCATGTGATTAGCGATTCTCGGCGGACAGATGCCATGCAAATCATTGCGAAAAAAGGGGGTGGTGAGGTGAGGGTCAGTTGCAGTTGGGTCACGATTCAGAGGGCGTTGAAATTGCACTTCAATTTATTATGGGACATTGACACAAATTCGGTGCGCTCTTCTGTTTGCGGAGAATCAAAACGAAAATGTCAACAAAGAATGGCTTTCGCCACGCCCCAGCACTCTAGTTATTTCACTGTGTTACTAACTGAAAGTACACTTGGAAAAAAGTTTTTTGTTTTATAATAAAACAATTTAAAACAGTGGATTTTTACGTTAATTGAACTAAAAAAAAAAACCAAAAAATCTTTTTTTTTCAGATGAATATAATTTCCTATATTAATTAATTATAAACAGAAAAAATGGGTACAATGTTTTAAAGTGACTTAAATTTCCAAAATATCTTTCTGATATTTAAGGGAATATTTTCCCTGTGTAATTATACCCAGTAACTAGCAGTTTGCGAGGGAAAATATCTATTCAGTTGGCTGACCTGCTTGCCTGGTTTACTTAGCCGAAGGAACCGAAGGAGTTGAACTTGCAGGAAGTGGACCACGGGGGCTAGCGAGCCAGAGCCAAAGGCAAAGGCAACTTCAGAACTTCTAGAACTTGCACGTGTGTTTGTGGACCCAGCAAAGTATGCTACAAATCGCAATGCAACCTTCAAATATTTAACACAATTTGCACAGGTGCAAACTTGCAGAGTTTATTTGATTTCGAGGGGGATAGAAAGGTAGAAATGGGAGCTGCTCCTTGGAGTCAATGAACTTTCACCCATTTAAATTGAAGGCGGACTCCGCTCGTTTATTTCCGGCAGAAACAAGAACAGGACATGCATAAATTATAAACAAGTATACCGCTTTGTGTATACTTTTCGTTTATACAATGTACGTGTATTTGCTGGGGAAAATTGATGGGAAAATTATTGCCCAGCGAGCGAGTGGAAAAGGAAAACTCCTACGCTTTTCGGGGGTGCGTGGTTAGTTTACGTTGGAATGTGGGTCACTCAGGTCGTTGACTTTTCTCAAGAGGGGATAGAAAGGCTCTCTATCCACCCTTCGCTCCCCTTTCTAACTAACAAACAAACAAACCTAGACCTAGTTGCACAAATATTTGCGTGGCACGTGCATAAACGAAAGTGTCTGCGACAATTAAAGGCAAATAGCGCGCAGGTTTTCCCTGCATTTCCCTGCGATTTTCCCACTGCGACAACTGCGCAGGCAATTTCGAGTTGTTCAATCCAATCTCGCTGCCAACTAGCAAACAGGCTTAACTTGTTTAAATGCTTTTTAACGCGGCGATTACATCATTACCCCTCACTCTTCGGCACTTCGGCACTTTAGCACCGCAAATCGAAGCGCAGGCGCCTCATTTGGCGGCATTTCTTTTTGGGATATTGGTCAGATTGAAAAAGAAAACTCAAAACTATAACGACCAAACCAAACAACCGAACGAAAAGCGAGGAAAACCAAAACAGAAACTGGGCCAACGGCAGTCTTAAATGCAGCTTAAAGTTGTATAACCCATTCAATTTAATTCAGGACCAGAGAGAGGGATTAAATTGAAAGAATTTCGAGCTGGATTTTGCCAACCAAATTGGGTTATAGAGCGTACTTTTACGTACACAGAGGGAATTTGAAAGTGCTTATTTGAGATGAATAGAACGAAATTAATTAGTTGAGCTTGCTGTATTTACACTGCCTATCTTCTCAGCATTTTGGTCTGATATGAAGAACATTCAACTCTTATTCGATTTTTAGAGAACGAATGTTCTCAATTCAAGAACAATTTCTCTCAGTTTACATAAAATCCTTTTCTTTTGCGTAGAGAAGAACTTTGGAATTTAAATACCAAAAATGGTGAGCACATAATTCAGTTTAGACAAATTCCTTGACATTTGGCCAGGGAAACTCCCACAGAATATTTGACATTTCCACCACACAAGGTGTCTTTCCATTACCGTTTTTTTAGTCACTTTTTTCTGGCTCCCTTCAAGTGGCTAATTCGCATAGCGATAAATAAGCGTCAAGATGCTAAGATAACCGGACAATAAAAAGCGCTATTCATGCATAACTGAGGCAAAAAAGGATTTTATTGCTGCTGCTTCTGAATATTTGCCAGCCTTTTTAGGCGCTTGTTTAGCCCAGGTTGTTTATGGCAAGACGCGTGAAATGCTAGGCTATGGATGACCTTAGTGGAAGTCTGAAAAGGAGAAAGGATGTTCTCAAAAGGGGCAAAAAGCAAACATTTTGTTTGTTTGTTTGTGCTTTTGGCACCTCGCGAAGGTCGCACGCAACTATTTCATAGGCAAATCAATCAAACTTGGCGAAAAGCACACAATTTCTATTGATTGATTTTGGCAGGGATAATGGGGAAAATGCAAAAACGGGGAAATGAGGTGGTAAAGTGCGAATTAACCCGAAGCAGTTGTTCTAACTTTGATTGGCTATATTTGGAGCAGGAAAGTTTTACTGGTTTTCTTTCTTTTGTTCGCCCCCTGCGATGACGAATGCCTGAGCTCATTCCAATTTCGCTCATGGGTGCGAGTAATTAACCTCTTGACAGCTCCATTATGTGCGGCGCTACTCGCTATCCAAACTTATGAGTCATGAATATAAGTAGTTTTTCCTGCTTCGATCTGATCTGAGCACCAGATTATTAATGGTCGCCTATGAGAAAGTGCAATCTGATATCGAGGTGGTCCTCACGATTTGCATTCGCCAGGAGATTTATTAGAAAGCGTTTGGCTGTAGGAACAAAGAACCTGACATTGGAGAGACGAACACGTCGCCCGTTGGCTGCTTTTGGGGCGACTGGCCAGCGACTGCGAGCCAAGTTATGGCCGACGCGCCCAACATACCAATTAGAAGTCGGCTTTCGAGTTACGTAAACATAAATAAAGCCTAAAAACTAAAAACAATGTTAAGCACGCGCTAAAAGCGAATCGATTGGCTGTATCATCACCTGGGCGATATGCGATCGTAAATGGCTAATCAGGAAGTTCTGGGCTCCGACGCCGCTTCTCTATACTTTTTCCCCAATTAATTTATGCAAGTCTGCGGCAAATAAACGTGATTAGCTTCAGGTAGATTGCAAACGTGCCGATGCTCCAGCAATTGTTGTACATTTTTTGTAAATGGAAATTACATTCGATCATGACAAGCAATTAACCAGAGATAAATATTTATAAATTGAAAGCGTGGAAATCAAGTTGCTGGCGGGGAGGAATTATTCAATTAATTGAAAGCTATAATTTATGGCGTTTTTTGTTATCAGTTTTTTTCGGTGGCTTTTAATGCATTTCAAACTGCGCGTTGCTAAAGTTACTGAGTGACAGGTTAAGAAGTCTTTTTCTGGGATTTTCCATCATTGAATCATTCCTTTAAATAAATGGTATTTTGAAAAAGAGTATTAAAATGCAATAACTTCTTTAATTTCATAGCCTATCAGTATCTTGGCTTAGAGATTCTTTTATTTATTGGAATACCAATATTAAATCCCCAGAGATAAGCCGAGTCAAAAGGTTGAGGTCGATTCCAAATGGGTTTTTCTATCTGTTCTTAGAATCTAAAAAAAATGGCAATGCACTTACTGAGTTAAAGAGCGGAAATTCCAAAAAATTCTATATGCTAATCAGTGGTTTTATTAATATTTTCCAAGATCACTGGGAAATGGCCAGTGATACATGCATTTGAATCGATTAGCTGGCCAGTCAATGGCGTGCGAGTTTTCCTGGTGGAAAGCCAATGTCGCGAGCGATAACGATAGCGATAATCAAGCAATCAGACTGCAATTAGCCGGCGGGCATGCACTTTCCAAAGCCCTCATATCCAGCTAAGGCTAAGGCTAGAACCTCTGAGCCGGGCCAAAACCGAATGTGTGTGTATGGAATAAAAATTTCCGTTGACATGCGATGCGCGTAAGCCTGTTGCACAGTCACACTCGTGAATACGAAATATATTTTGTTCACTTGTGGAAAATTAAGTATAATTTCCAAATGCAACCAACTCGGAGCGCTGAGCGCCTGGCACGCCTGTCATGCAAATCGGAAGTAAATCCCCAGAGTGGCCATATAGACCATATAGTATATATCCAGACAGGCAGACTGAGCAGACAAAGCGGCTATCTCTCACCGCAAGTGCAACAAACTGATTTCGATTCTGATTCATTTCTTTCCTGTTTCAATACAGATTCCGATTCCTCATTCCGTAATACGCGATGTTGTTATCTTCACTTTTTTACAAAATAAATTATATAAATTATTCCCATTCATTCAATTCTTTCTGATTTTCGGTTTTTGTTTTAGATTTCTATGTGAAGCCGTTTTGGCTACAGGACATACATCCCTTTTTTTTAACCTTGTATTATATTACATTAGATGATGATTATTTATAAGATAGATGCATCGAAAAATGATGATTTAATTTAGCCATTTACCGGGTAACTGTTTCTATAATTTGTGTTTTTTGTTTGCTAATAACTTAATAACTTAATCACCCAACAACTTACCTCTGCCTGTGTGGTGGTGGAAACGGGTGCCGTTTGCGCCGCTGTCAGGATGGCAAACAGGGTGCCTACGACTATGAACACTGAACTTTGGCAGTTTGTCATTTTGTTGCTGGTTTGTCTAATTGTCATGTAGCTGTAGTTGTAGTTGTAGAGTTCCACTTGCCGCGCTTAGCACTTTGAACTTTATATCACTGCAAAGGCAAAGGTGGAAGGTGGATTAAAAAAAAGGTCAATTAATATTTCATAAAGCCGGCCAAGTAATAAAGCAGAGAAACACACAGGAATATGTAGAACCGAAAGGGACCAGGCCAAGTACAAGTGCAAAAGGGCGAACGGAAACCGTTGCCACCCGCCACTCCCACTTTCCCATTTCCCATTTCCCTTTTCCAACAGGTTGAATGTGGCACACTTTCTGTGTGGCAGGCGGAACGGCAAACGGAAGTGCCAAGAAGAGGGCTGTTATACATACGTAGTATGCCAAGTCGTAGTAAAAAATAGTACAACTCGAGTAAAACACTCGAGATGACCATACGCCATAGTATACCCTTTGTTATGCATGGTAATGTAGAACCAAAACAAGACTCTTTATAGCATAAAACTGCACTCTCACATCCACTCCACTAAGCCTTCGGAAGCCCAGAATATCCCCTTATCAGAGTCAAATATTTGCTGATCCCTATCTCCATCTCTAATCCCCCCGAGGGTATTTCGGATTCGTTGAGCCAGCTGTCCTGTACGACTACATGATATTTTGATCGGCCGAGATATAGAAAGTCATGTGGTCTGATGTCTGGCCATCCAGCCAGCTCGGACGTCATAAACGGCTTTGTGTAAGTTTAGACTCCAATTAGAATTTAATTTTAGACTAGTAAATACCAAGTCGGCAATAACCGTAAAGGATGGTGGGGCCTTTTGTTGATATTCTGATATTTGGTTTGCTAAAAATAACTCGCAGTTTTGCTGATTTGGATGGATGGTGTTGACCTAGGGCGCGAGACAAGTGCCAGCATATATAAATATGTTTATGGGGATGTTTATCCCACTATATCTTGCACCTATGCTGGTCTGTCTCTGACAATTTTCCCGTGACATCAGCGAAAAGTGCGATAAGTCGTATCAAGTATACGGCAGGTAGGCACTTCTGCAAATATGTGATATATATACTATCTGCCAGCGGACACTGCACAGTTAAGACTGCTGACTAATCGCCTGGGATTTCTGGGCGGACACATTTAACAGGCTTTTTTTTATGAACGGCAATTAGCCGCTAGAACCAAATGAACATGCAAATATATAATGAATATACCCCTGCTGGTCGTCGGGTGTTATCTGATTACAATAATTTCTGTTAAGCAAATACCATAAACAATTCCCATTTTCTCTTTTGGGCAAATGTTTCGTCCCGGGTTGAAGGTCGGCTGGCTGACAGTTTAAGGTTAGCGCCGTGTGGTTAACTCGCTTGATGGGTTGAAGGGGAAAGTTCTGGGGGAGAGGTTCTTTCGCTTCACTGGGGTTGTCATAACAATGGACGCATTTCCCCGGGCTGTTAGATCAATAAAAACGAGTGAGTTTTAAGTGCTTTGGCCAAAGCAATCGATGCGAAAGTTTGCCCTGTTTTTCAGCCACTTTTATCATAATGGTTACGTATACGACATGTAGCACACGTCCGAGTGTTCTGAATTGGGTCATAAGCAGGGCTTCTGCTCAACGCTGATAAGGTGGATTTACCGGTTTGCCGGCTGCCTCTTCCCATCTTCTCCGAATCGAAATTCTTCGATTTCTGCGAAGAGGCGTGAGTCAAAGCTCGTTTACAAACAAATTAAAATAAATTATATTCCAACCAGTTTTGGCCAACTGACGTCTGTACAAAAAAATACCCCCCGAAACTACCCAAAAACATCGAATTCCACTTGCCATAGCTTTTTGGCATTGTTCACCTTATCAGCTGACTTTATTCCCAATGAATATGCCCCACGAGCGGCGATAAGATATGATGGGGATCGGCCGGGTGTTATGTTGTGAATTACCAAATGAATAATTTGGGGTATGAGTGTCCAAGTGTTACTAGAACTTGACCTTAGTGATAGCATAGCCATATCGTGTACGTAGAGTTGGGCAACTAGGCGCCCATGTCGAAACACTTCCAATTTGGAGTGGAATTCAAGTTCACCTCCAAAGTGGAGTGCTCAAAGGGTTTGGTTGGGCCTGATTAATGGGTTTGGTCGCGCTTCTTGACCTTTCAATTAACTGAGAGTCGAGAGTCGAGAGCTGCGAGTGGGTTGCAGTTTCAGATCAATGAACTATCACTGTATTATTGCCTTTGTTGCCTGCATGCCGCTTGCAACACTTACAAATTAATTAATTAGCTCTCGGGCACATACATTTTTCTTTTCTTTTTTTCTGTAGACTGTCGTCGCTGCGTATTCCGCTGTGGATGTGTTGTCGTTGTTTATAATTTATTACTTATAATCGCAATCCTTTTGTTTCTACGTTACTCTTCGAGCTTATAGGTCTTTATGTCTGGCTGCACTAATTGTTGCCCGCTGGCACTTCCATTTTCCCGCTCGTTTCCGCGTTCGAAAAACAAAACTCAAAACTGAACTGGTTCACTTTTCGAATATCTTTCTTCGGTCTTAGGCACTTGAGATAATCTTGGCTCGAATTCTGTGATTCTGTTTCGCCGCTAAACACATCCGCCCTGGGCAGCGCGCAAATTTCAACTGATCTTCAGAGCGCTCGCTGAAAACCGACGACGACTGAACGACGATCGTTTTTGAGCTTTTCAAAAAGAAGGAGGGGAAAAGCTCTTTAACAGCGATGCTAAGTGGCGCTGTAGATTCCGATTCGGTTTGGGGTAACTGTCGAAACCTGTTGCCAATAATCGAAGTTGTCCCTTCTCCTTTCCGCCGGAGAGGGGGGCGTATGAGTAATGCGCTTCTTGGAATCATCCGCACATGTGTCATTCGCCGGTCCAGCAAACAGAGACACCAGCAGCCGCTGTGGCCACAAAAAAACTCATATTCACATTCAGTGGCATTTGACAGTTTATCTTGAAGTTTAGCATATTCCCTTCTCCCTTCGGCAAACGGTAACAACTTAACAGCTTTTGTTTCTTGAAATTCGCATACGATTTCGAGTGAATTTCCGATCTGAACCACACCTCACCGAAAGTAAACTTATGAATGAATCTGCGGTTTGGATTCCCCGTCGCCAAGCGATTTCTCAATGAACGTATGAGTAATGCGTAAGTTAAAAAATGATAATTTTATTGGGACTAAGGGTAATATTGATAGAAATATTTTACAAACTAAATACGAGTTTATTTTGCAGAAGAAATATTTGAATCATTTGAAAAGAGAAGAAACACTTACAGCACGAAATAGATAAAATGTATTAAAAATACAAATATAATAAATGGTGTCATATAAATTTTTCGCAAGATGTAGCACATACTTCGAATTTTTTGGTGAATAAGAAAAAAGCCTCCTTAAAAACAATTGGATGATAATAAAAATTTATTAATAGATGCATACTCAAATACAAATTTAAAAAAATGTGTATGATTTTAAAAATAATTCTTCAAAATTTAATTTAATAATTTAATAAAATTTAATTAAAAGGGTATGATATTTAGCTAAAAAATATATGTGACGTTAATAATTTTCCACTTTATTTGGTAGTTATAATAATATATATAAAATAGTAATATTTTAAATTGACGGATTTTAGTTTTATCGTATTTTTCTGCTTTTATAATTAACTTAGATAGCGTGGATCTAGCAGCTCTTTGCATTTTGGTTTATAAACCCGATTAGCATCACCCCAAAGAAGCAGTGCTAATAAGCTATTCATCTCTGCGCATCTGCTCTTCTGGGAATCAATAAAATATTCCAGCCTACGTCTGTGCCATCCCATTAATTTCAATTGAGTGCAATTTTCGGTGACTCAGTCGCTCGAAAAGCAGGGGCCACGTGAAGTTGATTGCTACCTAAGCGCAAACAAATCTAGTAATCGTCTGGAACAATTGTTTACCAGCCCAAGCCAAAGGTTCCGCTGGGCATGCAGTTAAAAAGCAAAAAACTAACTAGCTAAAAGGGAAAAGTAAATCCAAATCCGACAGCCAGATAATAGGCGACATTTTGCCTCAACGACAATTCCTGATTCGCTTTATGGAAACTGGCCGAGGAACTTGGCAGAACTTGACTGCAGAACAAAGCGATGCTGTTGCCATTTATTCATGGACCAAGTGCATCTGGCCTGCTGTCAGCCGCTCTTTAAGAGGCCCCACTCCCCATACCCATTTTCTCCATCTGTTTGGGCTCTGGGAATATATATGTACAGATATATATACTCTTCTGTTATGGCAGTGGACAAGTTGACTTGTCGTCGTCGCCTGCTGCGCGATGCAGTTTCTGTTTCTGTTTCTGCTGCTGCCCTGCCATCGGAACAATGAAATATTTATGAGCTGCTTCTGCCTTTAATGACAACTATTTATGGTATTTTTAGACCATGCCCCTCACTCCCGTAGGTTTGTTGCCTTCGCAGCGGCAGTGAAATGAACTTTTCCACGGCGCGGCTGAAAAACAAGCGATTTCGCATTGACTTTTGCCTTTGAACTGTGCCACCAAGCCAAGCAGAACATATAATTGTCATATAGATGGGGCAGAGATAATGCTAATTGCATTTGAATACATAGTATAGATTTATTTATTTTGAATAGAGTGCGCGGCTCTGACTTTGAGTGCGAAAAACTATTTCTAAAACTCAATCACGTCACGGTCAGCCTTTGATAGTCGTTTGGCAAGCGATATATGAAGTATCTGCTGATATACGATGTATCTATAATTATATGTATTCATGTATCGGAATGTTTCAAAGCGGCTGGCTCTACGTGATGATTGTTTAGGCCGTGTCTATAATCAGGCCGCAATGTCAAATGCAAAGTCCACACAAAAGATCGCTTTTCGCAGATGATGATGATGATGATGCTGATTGCCATTGAGAAAGTGGAACTCCCCGAGTCCCCGAGATGAGTCACTCTACGTATACTTACCATAAGGCAGGCACAGACGAAAAATTGAGCAAACAGAATTTGCATAAACCAATTTGTGAAATAATCAAGTCGGTTACCCGTGTTCCTTCAGCAAATATTGCACAAAGCGACTTTTGTTTTCTTTAAGTTCCTCACCGGCGGTGTTTAAAACTTTATCAGGCTTTTATCTGCGCACCGATTGCGATTAGATCTTCGTAGTTAGATAAGCGCGAGGCGAACTCATTCTATAATAGAATCCACTATCACTTCGAGGCGAATTTCGCTATGATTGGGTATTACGGTATTATCCACACTCATGTCCAGCTGGCTAGCATTCTACTCAAGATTCTCTATAAAAAACACAGCGACTTGTTCCGAGAGGTGCGATAGCGACCGATTCACAGCAAGTTCCGATTGCGACTCGTCTGGCTTTCTGCCTTTCTGTTTTCTGCCTTTGTGGTGGCAGCTAAATAATGTTCGCGTCGTCGTCTTCGTAGTACTACCCCTACTTCTTGCTTTCGTAGTGTGTGTAGTCTAATGGCTAAGACCTGTGTGTTTGTTACTAGTTTACGAGTCACGCGAATAACCATAAAAACAGGCTCACACACACACTGCCATAGATGGAATAGGAATCCTAGTTCTGGTGGTTGGAAATAGTTTGCCGCCCCCTTTTGTCCTTCGTCCCTTGCATTTGATTACAGAGCAACAGGATTAGGGAAAAAGCTCTTATTTTCTGGCTAGCAGTTAGTAAGCTCTAGGCTGACTGGTAGTTATGTATGCCGAATGGTGATAAAATACATTTATTTTTCTATAGTATAAATATTTAAATTTATTTATACTTTTTAACTCAACAAAAAAAACTTCAGGAGCCTTAAGCTGTTATCCCCCTGTTAGCTAGAAGTTAGTCAGCTTTTGGCTAGCTGTTAGTTATAATTTATTTAATATATTTATATTTTATGTAAATTTAAAAAATACAAGCAACAGGAGCCACTTGAAAGCTCTTTATCCGGCTAGGACTCACCTTAGCAGTCAGTCGCTGTTAGCTCACTGTTAACTAGAAGTTAGCCAACTTTTGGCTAGCTGTTAGATTCACTTTGATGATTCACTCGAGGGCGCAGCTTTCTCTCACACTCTCTCTGCTTTTATTTCTTCACTCTCTCGACGGCGTTGAGCTTTTCACGCAGCGGAAGCACAAGTTAATTTGTTTTAAACACTCTCGCTAATTTGCTTAAATACACTATATATGTGAGCTGCTAAAGATTTGCCTTCCCGCAGCAAGCTGCCGTAACTGCAAGTTCGTTGTGCGTTTTTAATGCTAGACTGAGGCTCCAAGCGCTCCGCTTAGATTCTTTTATACGGCCGGGGCGCAAGGCGATCGGATATCGTTCCGAGATCCGAGATCCGAAACGCCAGTCATTCAGCAGCTGAGTTTGATGCCAGCGTCCTTCCCTGTCAGCACCCCCTTTTTTTTAAGTGAGTGTTTGCCTGGGGATCTTCCTCGTTTCGTTTGGATAACGGGAAAGTTACGCATCGATATCAATCCCATCCCCGCTTCTTGAATGGATGAGTCACCCCGGGGCAAGCCTAAGCGATAGTGACACTTGGTGTCTTGTTGCGTAGGCATCTTTGCACTGATTCTTCTGCTTTGCAGAACGGGCTGAATCACTTCAAATGCACGCCATTCTCATTCCACTTCGCTTTCCTTCCTGCGATTTTAAATTTCGCTTTATATTGTTCTTATATTTTGATTTATACGCACTCAAACGTGCTGGAATGCCGTCCTCTCGGTTTCCTCAAACAACCACCTTTCCCCGAGATTACCCCCCGTTCTTCTTATCGAGTGTAATGTCTTCTTTTGTATTGCAATTAAATATTTTGATATGGCTGTCGCACAAACGAATAAACTAAGGATTTTAGATACAAAAGGGGAATTCAATGGCAAGCAGGAAGTCTGATTGAGTGATTGTTTGATTAACCGCACTGATTGATGGGGCCACTCCTTTTTGGTATCTCAAAAGAAATCCTTCAAGCCTCTTTGTTGGATTGCTAATATTAAGCAGGCATTTTATTATGTTAAATTTGATATTCAATTTTATGTGAGGATTTTTTCGTCTTTACTATGTTCGCTTGAGTTTGCATCAGTTAAAATGACAAAATGAAATTCTTTATGGTCCAGAATAAAACCAGATCAGTTTAACTTGCAAGACAGCTTTACAGCTTTTTACTCTGGTACTCTTTAAGTGAAGCTCAGTCATGCTGTATAGCCTATAGTTCCTTAAGAAGGCCTACCATACTACCTAGTATACAATATATTTACTCAGAATTTATTCTCAAGTAACTGCCCTACCCTCGCAATTAAAAAGTATTTTTCCGTTTTTCAAGTCGCGTATAATTTTGTAAAATAATGAAAAATAAATAAAGTTGTCTGCCGTCCTTGACTCTTTGCAGGCTTTATGTGCCAGCCATCTTTTGTCTGGATCTTGGCTGAAACTACGTGTTGTGGTCGTAGGACACACCCAAATGCATCACCCACAAACTCAAGTCTGGGTTAACCCTTTCATCACAGGCAGAAGACCACAAAAGTGCATAAGTTATGTTTCATATTTTATTTCGGCGCACGACTGACTATCCCCGGTTGATTCTCGGAAACCCCCGTTGAGTAATGCTATTAACCGAAAATATAAATAAAATTTATTATAAACAAAAGGCAATAGGAGACCACAGCTAAGCAAGACGTGCCATTGCAAATGAAGAAAACCGAAATTTATTTTCTCTTCAGTTTCGGAACCCTGAGTCATCAGTCTCAATGGGCCCTGCATCCCGAAATTTCCAAGATAGACTGGCATTTGATTTCAATTAGCACATCATTGAGGTCAGCAGCCCAAACTGACATTTCAGGGGGAGGTTCTCTGCTCTCGGTTCTGTGTGGCAAAGGGGCTCGAAACAGATGTCCATGTCCATGTCACTGCTGACCCTCTCGGCCGGCCGGGCCTGTCATTCAGCAGTCGATAAAAATCCAATAAAAAGCGACATTTTTTAATTTGCATGCTACATAAAAGTTGCGATCCCAACTAGGGGCGACTGGTGTATGGGGCGGAGTTTTTAACGTCCAGCAACTAGAGGAAATAAAAATTCAAAATGTGACACATTCCTAAAAATACAATCCATTTAACGGGCATAGGAATTTTTGTTTTAAAGAAGCTGGGCATAGGTAAAATATGTAGCTTTTTTAATTGTTTGTTCGTTATAATTAACAATATATGTTGTTGTTAAAACTAACTAAAATCTGAGCCGAAGTTTATATACCCTTGCACATAATATCTATTAAATTTAAAATGTTAAAAAATGTGACAGGACTCATAAATATATTGAATCGTTTCATTAAAATAAATTCGAATAATTGTGTATCTAATAAAAATTATAGAAATATAAAGCGAAATGAATCATGCTCATTTCAATATAGTAAATAGCGATATGACTGTTTCTAAAGACGAGCACTCACTGGCACCGATTGTCTGTGCTGTCTACTTATGTACATTTAAAGTGGAAATATTTTTATTGAATAGTGGAATAAATTTAATTCCAAACTACAGAATTGTATGTATTTTTTTAAGGTTCCTTAAGAACTTCTTAAGAATTATGGTAATAGGCTTTAAAACCCATAGAGGCGAATTGCACACGCGCAGTCATCACTTTATGACTTTCAGCTATAAAATTAATAATTTTGTTTTGCTGATTTACATTTATCAGCATTGCAAACACGTTCACACGAGGGCAACGAACGCGCCTGCGCGCCAAGCTTTCGGCAGAAAAAAAAAACAAAACAAAAAGTTGAAGAGCTTGTAAAAAATGTCAAAATATCGGCGACCAATGGTCAATGGCCAATGGCATTAAGCCAATTTAAGGCCGGGGTGCACATTAACCAAAACAAAGAATGGCCCAAAGGCAAACATAAACACGTGAACAGGCCAACCGCCGGGCTATTGGCATTTGTCAAATAAAAATTCTGATATGGAAATCAAAATCAAAAATTCGGACTGCACTTCTTTGGCTTTGTTATTTTCTGGACTCAAGTTAGATGAACTTTGTGGCTGGCTTGTGAAATGCAAAGGAGCAAACTCCCCAGAAGTGCAAAAAGGTTCAAGAAACCCCATAGCCCTTCTCCGTCTTTATGTAACTTTTCATTAAACTTTAAATTTGATTTTGCTTTCTTTCGCGATGCGAGACCTCGGCCATAACTTTCGTTTTGTGTCCTGTTCCTGGTTCAATGGAATCTCAATATTTATTTTGGCTATATTTTATTTAATTGCGTATACGCAGCGTTTAACTCCAGCGTAAAATTGCCATCATAATGCTGACTTTCTGTTCTGTCTGCTGTTCTGTTGTCTTTTGTCACTTTGGAGTCGCCGCACGTTCGGCCTGCCGCATCACGTATTAATGAGTACTTTCCTTCCTCACCTCGCCCACGCCCACACCCTCTTCTACACCCACTCACCCCGAGATCCTTGGGACTGGAATAACAACAATAATAATAAACTTATTGCACTCAGGTCGCCCGTGTAGACAAACAGTTATGGCATTTAATGGCAAAGGAAAACATGAATCCATGAGGACAGTCATAATTTCTGTTCTGTTCGGCTTTGTTCCCCGCAGCCACAGCCACAGCCAAGAAAAGCAATCAAAAGGCAACTGAATCCACTGGGGACACAGACTCCGACTCCGGCCAAGTGTACTTCAGTTTATATTCATTGCAAAGCTGAATTGTTTATTGCACTCGATGAAAACCGCTTGATTAAATGCACCTGGATTGTCACTGGCACTTCCGCCTTCGCGGCTGCAGCCTCTCCTCTCAGTAGCCAAAGAAGTTGAAGCCGCAGAGCAATTTGTCCGGCCTGCGAATCCGCAGGATGCCCATCTGGAAGACCGACATGTCATCGTCCTCCGCCATGTTCATGTCCAGGGCCATCAGCTTCTCGGCGGCCAGCGGATGCCAGGAGCCGAATGTGCAGGCGGAATTCATCTGGGAATATATGTGGCAAGCGAGTCAGTGGATGAAGGCGATAATTGATTTCCAGGCCCACCCACCTCTTTGCTGTAGTAGTGACAGCGTCCATTGAGTCGCGTGGAGGGCACGTACTCCACAAAGTCCACCTGGGGACAATGTGGCAGGAGCAGGGCCAATCCTGGGAAAGGCAATCCCAGAAATCATACATAATTAAGTTTATTTTCAACGAGCAAATTGGTACTTGACTTAATAAATAGTATAATTATAATAAGTGATTCAACGGGGAAAGATGCATCGATTACAATAAGAAATTGTGATATATAAATACAAACAAGTAAGTAAATTAATAAATAAACAAATAAGTGAATAAATACATTAAATAAATTTGACTAAAAAAATTAAATAATAA